TGATCTCCACTATAGGAGGCTGGATGGCGCACAGCTGCTCTCCCAGCATGGCACAAGTGAAGCCACCGGAACTTCGATGCTTGTCCCGGAAGTCAGGCGTGTGATGGGCTCCCCAGTGCATTCAGTTAATATTTTGGCCCATGCTTCATTGTGAATTTGATTGAATTTTAATACTCCAATTTTGAGTTAAATCCTGGGAATAAGGCATTTGAATCTGAAACATACATACACTTGATCAACCACAATCTCCAACTTTTCCCTTCGGATGGCTTCCCAGAAGACTTCTCGGGCCCGCAAGCACTGTTATTCTGCAACAAGCAGGCTCTCTTGGAATGACACAGACAAATCCAGCGCGCTTCAACGCTGTTCGATCCAGAACTCTAAAGAGTTGAAAAGCCTGTCAAGTGCTTACTAACGGTAGCTTCATACCTGTCCGCTCAATGCGTCATTCAGCCCTTTATAGACGCTTTGCAGCAGCTGTGCATGGGTGCCGCCATAAGCGACCTTCAGTTTTTGTTAACTTTTATTAAAATTACTTCAGTTGATCATTAGCACAGCGAGGCAGGTTATTGCCCTTTTAGCTTCTGCTGTGCCTTTCTGCACAGCACTTTCCTTTGTGGAGGCTCGTCAACGCCCGTTTTAGTTGCTTGGCATCTGGAAAAGACCACTGAAGGTCATCAATAGCGGCTGTAATTCGGCGTGTGGAGGTCAGTGGTCTCGGTCCAATCAGCACTGAAGTAAATGACACGTGCCGCGCGTGCCGTTTCCTTGACACCACTCTTTAAGGCTATGAAGCAAATGAATGGTCCCATATAATAAGAGGCTACGGCAAAAGCTTTTGGGGTCCTTGCACTCGCGCAACAAGAGCCCGGCTCAAAACTTTGCACGTGCACTCTTGACTTCCCTGAAATGGCATAACAAGCAAGCTGGATGGGAGCCCTGGGTCAGTATAGGGAGTATTCACTGGCGGCCATATCCATGTGCGCTGCTGCTGAGCGCCTGCTGACGGCGAGCTTCTGCAGTCTTTTTGGAGAGTGCATTTAGCATCATCAAGGTTGCCGGTCTTAGAAGGCTATTAATGTGAGCTCGTTCTGAGCATGCGCTCTAAACATCGCCCTCAAATATGGCGTCCAGTGAATAACTCCTATTCTAAGACTGCTCGCTGCATCGGTTTGGAAATTGAAAAGGAGGCGCACTGCATTGAGGCATTGCGCGTTGTAACGGTATTACTAAGTCATACGGGCATTGTCTCAGACAAGCCTCTGAACAACTTCGTCTTCATGAACGGTCCGTTATCGCACTTGAATGGCGCTAAATCCCAAATCGGGCCCGAGCCCTAAGCTTAGCACCAACGGTTCGTTGACTGGACACGACTTCCAGCCGAACGTTGAAGACGCGCTCCTGACCAATCTGTGTCTGTTCCCAACCTCGTTATGATGACATCAAAATTATTATGCACAGAATATGATTATCTTATGTGGGTTTACTAGAACCATTCCCCAGACGGCAAAAAAATCGCACAGTTGCCCGCCAAAACCGATCTCGCCAGCGCCCGCTGTCAAGCTACGGCGCGTACCGTGCACCACTTGCTTGGCAAAAATCTAGCACAACTTTACCTGGCTATGAAGCGAAAGCTACAGGCGCCCGTGCAGTCGCGTAATTTTGAGGGTCGCTCAAGGCTGTACACACGCGCTTTTCACCTAATGAAAAATGCCCCGCGTGTCTGCACGCTAGCTCACGTTGCACGTGATCAAAAAATGTAAAACAATAAGAAGAATAAGAAAAAAAGGCATGTTTTTGCGTTTTGATAAAACGTTAAACGTGGGGCACGATGTCCTTTTTTGCTTTATTAACGCTCGTGAGCAAACGCTAAAATACATTTATACATCGCTGCTATGTTTACAAAATCACAGCCCAAAGTGCTATGATTTTTCGTCGTTTCATGAGGTGTGGAAAGCGCGCACTATTGGCAAAGTGAGCGATCGAAAGCGTCGCTGTGATCGGTCTTCCACGATAGGCCGAATGCTGACTATGACGTCAGCAAAGGATTTTCCATGGGCCGAAATAAGAGGAATGGAAGAACTTTAATTTTGACGGCATTGGCAGTGTTGGCTTGAGAGTGCTCTGATTTCAAGCTTCCAACATGTTATTTACAAACACCTTCAAACTTGTTGTTCGCAAGGTAATGACGTCACTAAAGGCGACCATAGGAGGGCACCACTAAAAATCTCGCCGCGAATTGGCGACATGAGCGATCGAAAGCGTCGCTGTGGTCGGGCTGCCACGATTGGCCGAATGCGGACAATGACGTCAGCAAAGAATTTTTCATCGACGGAAATAAGAGGAATGTAAGATATTCAATTTTGACGGTGTTGGCAGTGTTGCCTTGAGAGCGCTATGATTTCAGGCTTCCACCATGCCCAATACAAACACTATCGAATTTATTGTTCAGAAGGTAATGACGTCACGAAACGTAACCGAACGAGGGCGCCACCGAAACATCTCGCCGCTAATACACAGGAGCGTCGAGGATCACACTGGCCAGGAGCTTTTTCTTTATAAAATACTGAGCTATGAAGATCGGACTGTTCAGTATGGGATCTTCGCAGGTCAGTATGCTCGTGTGCACATATTCCCCAACCGAAGAAAGCACGCGCCGTACTTACAAGCACAGAAATTGGCACCACGGTAAGAGGCTGACCTCTACCTACGACCATGACTCGTGCTTATAATCTGACGCTACTCATTACTAGCCTGCATGTGAAGGCTTGCGGCAGTAGAGCAAATATTAACAACAAAAGTCACGCTGCCAAAATATATTACAGCACGCCGCTGTGCATTCGCAGGAAACCAAATTCCATGCAGAGAACAAGCGATAAACCTCGCCAGAGTAAATAAATGAGGTCAAGTCGTCAGTTGCTTTAGCGACTTCATCAGTAGATAAATGACTCACTAGGAAACCGCAGGAAAGGCTATAAGCGCGAGCTCCTTGCTCTTTGGCCACGGTGTAAGATAATACTCTTCAGGTGAGGACAGCGCGCTCCTCGCGCAGTGCAGATAAAGTTCGCTTTTTACTCTCTCTCTCTTTCTCTCTCTCACTATGGTTTCAAGCGGCGCCAGCAGATGACTCGTCGACCCGTGGGCACGGCAAAGACGGTTCGTGCCGCCTCATGCTCCACACGCGCAGAGCTCCAGCGAGGTTGTCGCTCGTGCAGAAAGACCACGGTGTACCGGGGTGTCATGGAAACGAGATACTTTTTTTCGCTCTCACACAGTTTCGCCGTTTGGCCGCCGGCGACACTGTCAGCCGCGGGCACGGTGGCACCAGAATAATGCAGCCTTTCGGATGCCCGTCGAACGAACACTATCTGATTCCTCGCGCCGCGCGTTCAGCCCCGCCGTGTCCTCACCTGAAGAGTGTATCTTGCACCGTGTCTATGGCACATCTCGGCGGCAGAAGCTCTCGTGCACCAAGGGCACCTGCCAACGCTATGAGCTCGCGCTTTTAGCCTTCGTTGCGGTACAACATATGGTGAAACGGAGTGTAGCACACAACATCAGCAAAGAGGGTGTTCACAAAATACGCTTTAATAGTTCGAACCTTGTTCCAACTTCGGAGCCATTCGGTAATCAGAGCCATTTCTTTGAGTATATTGCTCGTGCCCCGCGCCGGCCGTGTGCCTCTGTCGGTGGTGGCGGACGCCGGGCGAACAAAATCTAGCTCGCCAGATCGGTGACGAACGGCCGGAGGACAGAGACCAACCCTAGCGTCCGACCCTCATGTGCAGCTGGGAGTATGCAACTTTTTTCTTCCGGAAATATTTTTTGTTATATACGAAGAGGAGGATACAAATAAATCACGTGTGAATCCCCTTCAAACCTGGTACTAAGCTTGGCGCCATGAAGGCCACGAGAAATCGGACGGGACTGGTTAAGCCAGTAAATACCAAAAGGTGGCCTCAATTTCTTTATATAAATGTTTTGGGGCTCATATAACTGTAAAACTGTCGATCGATCGCATCACAGTCTAGCCTGGGGCCCTAATCTGGACACTTAGCGAAAAAGCCGGCGAGAAATCCGGCGAACCTGATTGGCCGGCGCCAAGGTCAAGTGCCGCGTTGGCCAATCACGGCCGCCAGATTTCTCGCCGACTTTTCCGCGAAGTGTCCAGATTAGGGCCCCTGGACGTAGCACTGTTATATAAAATTTGTATGATGCGCTACGGAACAAAGAAATCTCTAGGAATGACGTAAAGATGTCATTAAAATCTGTTGTCTGCGGTATGGGACGAGCAATGGCGTCCCTGTACACGGACTCAAACTGAAGCTAATCCCCCCAAAATCACCTAAAACAGCTATCCATTCATTTTGCGGTTGCCTAGAACCACGCATTTCACCACAGCCATCAACTGACAAGCCGGCGGAAAACAGAGTGATCGGAGTCGGAGTGTGGGGTGTCGTCCCAATCCGGCTGAAGCCTCAATTCGGCTATTGCCTCAATTCTAGAATTTTCAATTCGGCTGGACGTTCCAGTTTGGCTACATCCTCAATTCGGCTAGAAGCTTCAATTCGGCTAGAAGTTTCAATTTGGCTGGACGCTTCAGTTCGGCTACAAGTTTCAATTCGGCTGGACGCTTCAGTTTGGCTAAATCTTCAGTTCCGCTACAAGTTTCAATTCGGCTGTATGCTTCAGTTCGGCTGGATCCTTGTTTCAATTCGGCTGGACATTCCAAGTTGATAAAGCTAGACATCCAAGCATAAGGTGCCCCCAATTTTTTTTAGAGAGTCGCTAACTATATCTGCATCTTGCTTTAACATTGCAACCTGCAAGCTCAGATCAATAAGTTCAAGAAGCTACGAAGGCTTTGGGCACAGAAGCATTTGTGTTTGTGTTGTTTGTTCTGTGTAGCTACTGTGCAAACACCAGGTCTCTGATTCAAAGTAATTTATTTACTTGCCGAAAGAATGGATTACAGCAGTGCAAAGATCGCTTCTTCCAGTGCTGGCCACTGTTCACGTGAAAGGGACAGGACGCCTTGGCAGCTCCTACGTCAAACTGAGTTGAATAAGAAAAGAAGATACCTGCATCACTTATGAGACAAAACAATGTGGTAGGGGTTCAATCCAATGATTTACATCTTCAGGAGGCTAAGAGGAATGTAACAGTAGAACTGTAATGTTTTTCAAGGTCACGAATTGGAATCAAAATTGGCTAAAGACACCAGTGGCTATGACTGACCTCGTAACCAAAAACCTTACGTCCGCAAAAAATTGTTTGGCGACATTTTTTTTTTCAAATTCGGTCCTCATCGTATTTTTAAAGCGAAAGTTTCTACTGGCAGTTTTAAAAATATGTTAAGATGGAGGTTTGGGCGAGATGGTGTCGCATACTCCTCCACAGCGCGAAAAATTCGCAACCAGGCACAGGCACACACAAAAGGGAAAGACATTCATCAAGCACTGACTTGCAACTCAGACTTGTATTTTTTCTTTTCTACCTGCGCCTGTCTTTTTAAAGAATAAGACTTTTTTTTTCTGCCATTTTTGGTTTCATCTGGATGCAAGATAATCTAATTCTTTTTTCTAATAAATTTAAACAAGGTTCAGTGACACAGTTTTCTTCTTACCTCGAAATTTTTCAATAATTTCCCTAATTAGTTCATTATTATATTTACCTATTACGGAGTAGACTTTTTTTAGTTCTGCTTGACATCAGCAATCTTGGCAATGTATGCCTAAATGTCTAGAAGTGATTCTGTTTATCTTGTAGTTGTGTTACTCTAGTCTATGTGACATCACTATATGTGACGTGGGGGTGGGGAGGGGTTCAGTTTTGGCAGTAGAACGTTTCCAACTGATTAGAAGAATTTCGATGGCAACAGATGAAGCCTGCGGGACCCCAACGTTTCCTCAACAGCACGAAAGAAATATGTTCCATTCTGTCCTCTGATGTGGTTGTGCTAGCCATGCCCCAAACAAATAAGAGTTTATAACGAATTATTTGGGCTTCGTAACGTGAAGAGAGGTACAGTTTCTATCATGAAAGAAGCCATTAGCCCGCAGATTTTGCAGGACAAGCGAAGGCGGCGGAACTTTCTAGATTTCACCCTTCACCCCGCACAGCCATGACGCGCAGCACGTTCCCATGGCACCTACGGCTGTGAGTAGCATGTACGTCAGGGGGCCTTTAAAAAGTGGGCAAAACAAAGTTTTTCAGTGACCGAACCGAGGAGACTGATAGCTTAATGTACCGACACCTGGATAAGTAACCCTGGTTTGCAAGTGTTGTCGTTTGAGAGTTGGTATTAACTAGGGTGCACTGTGAGTTGTAGAGCATCTACAGTCGCACCGCCATATTCAGCTCAAGAAATCTCATCTAGGCACAGGCAAGTCCTTCTGTAATCATTGAAACTACAAATTAGTTAATACACTTGTGTCTGGTTACTATTTTTGTTTCTTTTGACTTTCTCAGAATCGGGAAAATCAGTAAGCAAATTTAATATCTGAATTATTCTGAAAAACCGGGAATTTAATCAAAACAAGCTCTGAGAAACATCAAATTTTCAACAAAGGTAAGCTCCTGAAAACATCCTCCAAATGCTACAAAGGATTAATTCTAGAAACACGGAATGCCCCTTATAGTGATGCTGCTATATATCACTCTAGGGGTGGCCAGGCAGGCTCTGGTGCAGCTTGGTTATGACCTTCCTCGCAAAGGGAAGTTTTGGCATTGCGTATTAGGCGATACTTACCCAAGTCTAGAGGTTACCTTGGCAGGGTAATGGAAGCACCCATGCTCACAAGTACGGTAACTGCCCAGGTCACCTTGGAAGGTCTTCAGCACAAGGCAGGCACCACCGTTTGTCGTAGGTGTGATGTGCTGCAATGTCTGATGACACAAACTGCAGCGAAACAAAACATTTTTTCCTGTGAAACTGTATCCATAGCTGCAATCTCCGTACCAGCACATTGCATGAGTAGCTAATCTTATTGTACACTTATTTCTACATTAGAAGCAGAGTTTATTCTGAAGGCGTCAGGATATTTCGGTTCCACGTATAAAAAGTCACTCATACAGATTTACGTCGAACAAACATGTTTTACTACGTCCATGGCTGTGGCAGAAAATACTAAGAAAGGCGAGATAAATCGACGATTCAATGCTTCAAATGGACAGAAATGAGAGGAAAGTGCCCCAGACAGCTTCCTCCCATTTCTCCTCCTGTGAACAGCAAGGTCGAGGGAGCCCACCAGTGGTGCAACCGGTGGTTTGTACGCGGTGCTCGAACGTGATTAATATACATTGTTCGGATACCATCATATCAGTCATGTTGCTATTATATCGATACCTAAAGAACTGTCAAACGCCGATTGAAAAAAATTGTACCGGCTCATTCACGGCTTTGTTAGCTTTAGTTGCTCCCATTACGGAATAAAGGGTTTGTTCAGCAAACAAACGACGCGCTCCCAAGCTTCATCCAGTTCTTCAACGAAGGCTTTGTTCCTGTTCGAAGCTAGATCTTTGCTCAAAAAGCACTTCGAATTTACAAACAAATCCACATCGACTCTCAGCAACCCTCGTCTCATTGAACCGCAGTGCAGTTTTCGCCCAAAGGAGCCACAAGTAACGACTCTTGAGAACAAAATAATTATCTATAAAAGCTAGACACAATGCATGGTTCCGGCATTCGAGCACAAGCTATTTGAAGGTCTTTTGGTTAACGCTACAAAAGCTTAGTATTCCAACAAGAGCTTAAACGTAAAACAATTTCAGTTTTCCTCGTATCTGCCTGAACTGGGCGGAGCCAATCGAACGACCGGACGTATGCAAGATCCAAAACATCTGCCGCAAACTGCTGAGAGCAGCACGCCGGAGCAACCATCTTTCCGACTGTTTGCACGCTGGCTCACATTGTTTCGACGCAGATGTGTCTTGCATCTAACGTTTTGATGGCAGCCTTTCAATTATAAGAGCAAAAAGTCAAGTGCTAGCCTGGGTGTCACTAACACTGTTCACACACACAGTTGCTCAATGCAAAGTATAAACAAATATGCCCATGACATGCTGGAAAGGACAGCCGGCCGCCTAGGCAGTACGGCCACGCATGTCCAATCAAAGCTCGCAGGATGCTGTACATTGACTGCGCGACACTGTTAAGCACTAGGCACAACAAAGACATACATGCACCTCGATCCTACGAGAAAATTCGGATGACACAGAGTATAGTAAGACTTGCGAAGCTTGTAACTGGGTTCATGAGCTTTTAATCACTCCCGTGACACACACCCGCACACAATGTGTCATCCGAATTTACCCATTGGATCGAGGTACATAAAATTTTTTTCCGCTGCCAAATGGAAGGGAAGGTGCGACAACACTATCCGTCTGTCTTACCCTAGCATGAACTAGCTGGTAATGATACAATCGCAAGCGAGTTGCTTTCACTGGTGTCCCTCCTGCTCGAGCTCTCGTACAACCAAATTGCAATTAAACGCAGGGCGCTCGCTCGCACTTGTAACCACTCCGGCTAGTCCATGCTAAGATGCGACAAAGCATGGCAGGAAGCCTGCCACTATACTTCGTTTCAGCTTATCTCCGAGCGCGGCCGATGTTATGAGCCGAAGGCCCAATCAAACGGCGCAAAAAGCGCAACGTCATGGCGTGCTCTCTGCGCTTGATAGGACAAGTCGGCGGAGGAGCACGCACAAAAAGTCAGCGAATACCGGCTCGCCCTATCAACTGCAGAGAGCACGCCATGATGTTGTGCCTCTTTCGCTTGTTCGATTGGCCCTTCGGCTCATAACATCGGCCGCGCTCGGACCTAAGCTGAAACGAAGTATAGAGCATGTCGGCCGCCGGGCATGACTGGCGAGTGCAAGCACCACGTGAGTCACATGAATGTTCCGCAAAAGCTGCGTGACTAAAAAAACCCAGATGAAACGTCGTTCGTTGTGCCATTCAGTGGTGCAGGGGTAGAACATTAGGCTCTTAATCAAAAGGCTGTGGGCTCGATCCCCTATAGGGGAGCCATATCATTGATCTTCTTTCACTAGCTTTATTAAGTGAACTCTATATTTGCTTTTATTCTATGTTCTGCTCATTCGACGTGCTTCCATGACCAACTGGGTAATCCATGTCTATCTACAACTGGATCGGTCCTTGCAGGCTCTCAACTCTAGATATATAACACACCGTATGATAAAACGAGCATCCCGCAACGCTTACCATAGGAACCGTCACTGGCATAACTAACAGTGACAAGGTGCAACGCAACATCGCATCGCTCGGATCCAGCCCATCGAAAAAAGATTGCGCAATCTGTCAGCTGCAATCCATTCGGAAGCAAAATGGCCTCCCTGTATGTTTCGATTGAATCGGTGCTGTGTGCAGACCCAACGTTCTATGCGGGGGCCTAGCAACTGTGTATATATTTGCTGAGTGAGTACTCGGGGCTGCACCGGAAATTATTTTCTCGCGTGCGTTGTTCTCATCAAGAAGAGCGTCACACTATCACCGTCCTCCTAAGTAGCATGGGTGAACCCTTTCGTACGCTACAAAAATATTACCCTCTACTTGCACAAAAAAGAGAAACAAATTTTGGAATTTCACTAAAAAACATATTCTGAAAACATGGAACCCTAACTATAGCCACTCCAGGTTATTACATACTAGGGCATCGCCAGGCAGGTTCTCAAGGAGCTCGGGAATGGCCTTTCCCTCGAAATTAATTCCTGGCATTGTGTACTAGGCGATACCTGCTGAAGTCTATGGGTTACCTTTGCAGAAAGATGGAGGCATCCATGATCACACGTACGGTAATTGCCCATGTCGCACATCATCATGGAAGGTCTTCATGAAGCAGGCAAATGTGTCCTGTCGATGGAGACCCACATATCCTGCGTATGTGGGTAAAGTGCCTAAAATTTTATTTAATTACAACTACAACTACTTCTCTCCAAAAACGTCATGGCATGAAAGCTTGTCGCTTTTCATAGATAGGGCTCGCTAGCACAGCCTAGCCTTTTTCGGTCGGCCAGGGCCTTGAGAGTGCTTTGTAGCGGCCCGCCACACGCCCTCAAAGTTGAACTTGTGTCGTATTCAAAATTTGGAAGAAATGCCTACTACCAAGAAGGATAGAATTGTAGCAGGGCGTCATGATGTTAGTTCCGTAGCCCCCGCAACCCAACCTCCATTATCGCCTGCCCCTTTGCCATCTACTTCCTCGCCCATCATGACTACCTGTCATGCCTTGTTGTTGACTGTTGTTCGTAGGGAAGGACTGGCTGGCACTGGGGGGCTCTGGGCCTCTACTCATCCCAATTCCCGAACAGAGACTGCGGCTGCCCGGTGACATCCGTCGTCTGCTTCCTTTCTTCGGTACTTTGCTTCAGTTAAGGAACTGTTTTTTGCAGATAGTCTTAACGTGTTGAACTAGCTTACCCGACATGCGTTGCGCCATCTTGGGTCCCAGTGTTGCAGGTGGGGAAACCAAAAATCTGTGGATAGAGCTCAATCGAACTACTAAAAAACAGTTAATAAAATTATGTACTTTTTGTACTCCCAGACTAATCTTTTAGCAATTATCATAAACTATAAAAGAACAGTTTAGCTAAAATTTATTCCCAAATTGAGCTATAATAATTAAAAAAACTTTGCTATAATTAGTGTCATTTGTTTTTTTCGTCACTCTGTTGCTATGTCCGGCAGAAATGTTTTAACGTCCAAAAGTCGCTTTGATTGTATCAAGTATTGCGATGACTTGATTCAACGCTGCAATAAAAAAACCGAAACCCTTCCGCGTGAAAACGAAACTACGTGGATGCGAGTTGCGAAACCTCTTGGTGGTACGGGCGGCCGTCTTGAGTTTCGGTTTCTCCGCATTTCCTTCCAGGGCATGGACGCTCTGCCACTGAGTGAGATTCGGAAATTGTATTGTTTTCCGACTTCCAACCGATCACCCAATGTGGACAAAGAGCTAGGCCGTCATGCGCTTCATCTCTGGGGACACTTTGAATTCTTTTTTCGATGAGAATACGGATGAAATCGTACTGTTTAGCGGTAGACTGCTCTACGGTTTTACATGCGAGTCAATTTTTTTTTTATTGGCAAAAGGTGTTTTTTTTATTTTTTACAAAGCTTTGATGTTTTAATGGAGACTGTGCCCTGGGAAGTATTTTTCAAGCGTTGCAAGAGCTTAAATTGGTTTCAGATAGCATTGACCTCAAGTACAGTTGACGGATGTTTCGCTATTAATGAAGGTTTGTTCAACCCCTGGCAGGATAACTGCACAATTATTTTTACCTTGGCTGCGACCAAAAAAAACAAAAAAAACAAAGAGAGATGTAAAAAAATGAGTTTGTGAATTGAGGTTCCACCACCCGTGTTGCTGCACTCGACGTCCGCAACGTAAGTTTTCGCCGCCGCGGCCGTCGAATTTTTAGTTACTGCGATAGCAAAGTCCATTCTCTATGAATGTTAAACAAAAAGACACGTAGTCTTTGTCTGTTATGTTTTCTATTCACGAATGTTTTAACAAAAACTTCTGTTTTGTTTTAGATGTGTTTTGCAACCTCGTTTAGGGACGCCAGATAAATTGTATAGAAATCGCTGCGAAGCAATGAGGTTGTTTTACTGGTCCAGGCTAAGGTGACACCAAGTATAGGATTTCAAACGGAGGCTGATGGCGCGTGCTCGATTTTTGTTTTCTTAGTTGAAATATTGTTATCCAGTAGCGCGCGTGGATAGAGGCTGTAGTGCCGCTGTATGTAGGCACGCTCGCGTCCTCTCCAGACGACATGGTGCCGCTTTGGGTTCCATCGCCGCTCCGCCATCATTACTAAAGCCCCTCTATCCTGGGAAAAGTGGTGCCATTCATTGTTGTTGAAATGCTCAAGACACGTGACACACGCCCCTTCTGGGAAGAACATGGCGTCTGAAATCTAGCTCAGTGCTACGCTGTGCCGCCAAGAACTTCCCGAGGGCGGCACGTTGCACTTGCCTCGTGCATCGACGCACTATGGGGTACTTTTAAAACATGAAGGGGCTTTAATCATTACGAAAAACCATTCATGTTAAAAAAGTAGCGCAAGATGCGTCGATGCACTAGGCACGTGCAACGTGCAGCCCTTGGGAAGCTCACGGCGGCACAGCGCAGCGCTGAGATAGATATTAGACGACATGTCCTTCCCAGAAGCGGCGCGTGGCACGTGTCTCGAGCATTTCCACAACAATGAATGGCGTCACTTTTCCCAGGATAGAGGGGTGGTTCGCGCTCCCTCTGGCTAGACAAAAGGCGCCCCGCAAAAGATTGCAGCACTGACCTCTAATCGATGACATAGCAGTACTAACAGAGTAACGCTGCGGAGCAAGGATGGTTTTAGAAGGCAAAAGTACAAGACGGCGAGATTGAAAATCTTTGAACCGGTGTGCAATCCGTTCACCGATCACAATTAATCGAGCCGCGCTTAAACGTGATGTCACGTGCAGTTGGTGATAAGGAGTTAGATCACTGATCAGCGATGAGCAGCTGTTCCTTGGTATTCTGTAGACCGTAAAAAAACGTACCTACCTCCCCCCGCTCCCCCCCCCCCCTCCCCCGGCCTTCTTCCGTCGCCAATGAATGCTAGATATAGCTCGTTTCTGGACTGCCAGTGCCGCAAGTTACAAATACAGTCGGCAGAGTCAAGTAAAACTCTGCTCTAGAGGCACATACACCTTCAGGCACATTGCACTAGTAAAACACATCAACATGACGTCGAATCTCAATCGCTATCCAAGCGTGCGAAGGCGCAGAGACGTAGCACTTCGGCGTAACAAGAAAACTTTGATTACGTCGCGAGACCGGCGGAACTTGCTCTCGACAAATTGTGCCTTTTTTTGCGGCACTGCGCTTTCGTAAAATTTTCCACGTGTTCTCAACAGTAACCGCTCATTCACACTGGAAGCGGATCCGCGCTCGCAAAGCGGTTGCGAACGCGAATCCGCTTCCAGTGTGAATGAGCGGTAAGTCTCAACGCTTACACAGGGTCTTCGAAAACCTCTTCTACGAATGACGACAAACGAGTAGAAAACGTTTCTCCAGCACGCTGCCGGCGGCCTCTGTAACGCTAGCAAAACCACAATTTGTCTATTTGCAAGATGGTTTGCGTTTTTCTTGATGCGCAAGCAGCTCAATGTGTGCGGACAATACCGAGAGTTTTAATATTCTACGCCACAAACTATAATTGAAGAGGCGTATGGTTAACAGTAACAACAAAAGCTGAAACACCACAGAGCCCTCGTTTTAATGTCATATAATAAAAATATAAATAATTACTTTTGAAAGCCAAAATCTGGCGTCGGGTAAAAGAGGTTTGTAAAACACATCTAAAGCAAAACAGAAGTTTTTGTTAAAATATTCTTGAATAGAAAACATAACATACACAGACTACGTGTCTGTTCGCTTAACATTCATAAAGAATGGACTTTGCTATCGCAGTGGCTAAAAATTCGACGGCCGCGGCGGCGAAAACTTACCTTGCGGACGTCGAGTGGAGTAACACGGGTGGTGCCAACCTCAATTCACAAACTCATTTTTTTGCATCTCTCTTTTTTTTTCTTTTTTTTTTGTCGCAGCCAATGTAAAAATAATTGTGTAGTTATCCTGCCAGGGGTTGAACAAATCTTCATTAATAGCGAAACATCCGTCAACTGTGCTTGAGGTCAAAGACATCTGAAACCAATTTAAGCTCTTGCAACGCTTGAAAAATATTTCCCAGGGCACAGTTTCCATTAAAACACAAAGCTTTCTAAAAAAAAACACCTTTTGCCAATTAAAAAAAAAAAATTGACTCGCATGTAATACCGTAGAGCAGTCTATCGCTAAGCAGTACGATTTCATCCGTATTCTCATCGTAAAAAGAATTCAAAGTATCTTCAGAGATGAAGCGCATGACGGCCTAGCTCTTTGTCCACGCTGGGTGATCGGTCGGAAGTCAGAAAACAATAAAATTTCCGAATCTCACTCAGTGGCAGAGCGTCCATGCCCTGGAAGGAAATGCGGAGAAACCGAAACTCAAGACGGCCACACGTACAGTGTATCCATACCACCAAGAGGTTTCGGAACTCGCATCCACGTAGTTTCGTTTTCACGCGGAAGGGTTTGGGCTTTTGTAATGCAGCGTTGAGTCAAGTCACCGCAATACTTGATACAATCAAAGCGACTTTTGGGCGTTAAAACATTTCTGCCGGACATTGCAACAGAGCGACGCAAAAAAAAAAAAAAAAACACTAATTATAGCAAAGTTTTTTTTTTATTATAGCTCAATTTGGGAATAAATTTTAGCTAAACTGTTCTTTTATAGCTTATGATAATTGCTAAAAGATTAGTCTGGGAGCACAAAAAGTACATAATTTTATTAACTGTTTTTCAGTAGTTCGATTGAGCTCTATCCACTGATTTTTGTTTTCCCCACCTGGCAACACTGGGACCCAAGATCGCGCAACGCATGTCGGGAGAGTGGAGTGTTTTTGCGACATAGTTGCGGCCTTTGAGTTATTGAATGGTTTTGTTGAAGACAAGGCTCCTATTTCGAGAAAGAGCGGTTCAAATCAACGCCTCCGATTGCAGCGAAAGTAATACCGAATCACTGACCGGTCTAACTTCACAGTTCGTTCATCAAGGGTGAGTATCCACGAAAGAAGGATGGTAGCATAAGTTCGGGAAGTGGCCACAAAGCATTTTCCGAAACCACGGGCCCACCACACCCGTGCACTCTTTCTGTCTTGTGCGTTTTATCAGAGCGGAAGGGAGATAGCGAGCGCAGCCGAGAGTGGCAGACTGGGCGAACTGCGATGAACAGGGTATCGCGCGTCGGAGGGGCCAGGATGGGGCTTTCCAGTAAGTGCGGCTACAAGGA